CGCGTTCCTTATGATCCAACGAGTGCACACGTGACATTTGGAGAAAGAAAGAAAGAAAATGCATTTATTTGGCGATTGGCACACGAAAACAAGGATCATTACAATAGAAATGAAACAAATACAGTCAAAATAAAAACAAAACATGAATAATAGATTTGATAAAAGATAAAGCTGCATGGAGCATTTTTTATTATGATCCACCGGGTGCTCATAAGGACGCTCGAGGTTTTTTTTTAAGGGTGGAAAATCATCGCATGACTGCTCCCGCCTGGGTGAGGCGGGAGGGAGTGTTAGACTCTTACTGACTAAAAACCACCCCGTTCCTTCTCCTGCACGTCGAGCCGGAGCCCCGGTTATCCGTTAGGTTCTGGGTTAAGGAGGTTGAACAAGGAAAGTTTGAAGATAGACTGCCCCAGGCGTGCCACCGCTTCCGATATCTAATCCGCCTCCATGCAAGTTTGCATACAACGGTGAATAATATCGGGCACATATTATTCTCGATGCAAGTTTGCACAAACGCTAAAGTTCCTTATTCACCTATACATTAGCGACATAATTTTATGTTTATGACATATCTTATGTACAGTCGTATGATCGTGGACTAGTTGCGAACAAAACAGGTCGACCAATTATGAGGAGTGCTTGGTGGATTTGTTCCGAAGCGTGACAGATTTTAAATGGGTCAGATAGCACCTATTTGCTGTACGATTCATATTCTCCATTAATGGTGGAAATATTGTTGGACCAGTTATACGGGACAAATAGTCTATTTGAATAGAGAAAAAAATCAAATAACTAGTTCTGAGTGTGGGAGAGACATGCTTCGGCATCAATAGGCCGGCTCGACCGGAGTTAAAGCACGGCCTTACAGAAAACCGACGTGACACAACGCTTGCCTTGTGTTTCGTCGTTTGAGTGAGGGTACCACGAGGTTCAATCACTCTTCCCGAATGTCCCCACTCCTTGAATCTCCAACAATCCTCAAATTCCTTAAAAGGCCGGTTATGTACTTGTCATGCCTCTGGTGTTCCCGATGTCCATGGGCGACGACGATTACTTACCATCAGATGATCCGTCGACGCATTTACCGGCTTATCCCTTATATAAAAAAAGTTATAGAATTCCGTGAAGGGTGAAACATTTCAATGGTACGCTATTGTAATGGGTTCCTATTAAAACGTCGGCATCGTTAAAGTTTGATTGACAACTCAAACAAAGTTAGGTTATCATTTTCCATGTAAATTGTTAATACTAATAAATATAATTTTAATGACACATGCCTTTTATTGGGTATCGCATTATAATTATCATAATCATTATTATAAATTAATCTGACTATGGATTAATTTTCCAGAAATCAGTTTTGGTTGGATTATACCAGTTTTAGTAATTGTGTGGTTGCGATGATAATGATCAAATAATAATTTAATTATCTTTCACGTCTTTGACCGGCTGCGACCTTTGGTAAATTAGAAATATAAAGGTTATTACAGATGGAATGGAAATTTTTGAATTGTAGAACAACATAATTCGTCACGCTGTTAGCTTCTAGAGAGAACAAGCAGGAATGTTTTTATGTACACACACATCAAGCGATACAAAACCAATAAGAGAGACCATCTCTCGCTTTGTTTAACCTCTCCGCACTTTCAGAGGTCAGTTAATAATAATAGTTTTGCATAGCTTGATGTGTATCTGTAATACTTTTGGTATATTATGTTTTTAGTTAAGAATAGAATAAATTACATTAAGAATAGCATATTTATAAGAACTGGACTGGACTGAAAACCGCATCAAAATCGGTTTAGTCAATCGTGAGGTAATCGCGCCCAAACATACATACATACAAACATACATGCATACCTACAGGTCAAACTGAGAACCGCCTTCTTTTTTGAAGTCGGTTAAAAATAGAGTCGCGGCCGGTCAAAGGTGAAGCGAATGACCGGCGCGAGGGAAATAGGCCAGATAGTTAAAGAATGTTTCAACTCGATATAGAACTGAACAGTTGAATAAACTTGAATATAATATATCTATTCTGAATGAAACGATTCAATCAGATTGTTTGGTTTCAGTCTATCAATGTTCTCATGCATTTTTGATTTGGAGTAATAATAGGTTCGCGGCCGTTTATGCGATTGTTCGACGCGGTGATCGGTCGACGGATCGTGAACATATCGTTGTGGCTTTAGTTTTCACTTAATGTTTAAAAAGTAGGAATTTTTCATAACTATCTTAACGTTGTGTTTGTACTTTCTAAAATACTTAAAACGACGTGATATTCTATTCCCATGAATTGTTTCGTAGCAATAATAGATAGTACTGTTGTCATCACCTTGTTTCATTATTTATCGTGATCTTAACCATAATTGCAGATTGCAAGGTAAAATGCAAAGTTTCAAATCCAAAGTCTACCAGTTCATCTATTGAATTTATATTTTGGTTTAAAAATCTCATACGTAAAATATCACTAACAAGACCTCTTAACAAATTATATGCGAACTTAACTGTATAGGTGCACCTCCAATTAAATGTTCGAGAAATTGTGGTCCATAACAGGAAGCATGTACCTTACATTCATTACTATCTTTTTAGTTTACTCACTGTAACTTTTTGACGAAGAACTCGACTAGTTTCATGCTATACTAGCCATGCTAGAGGCTCATATTCATGAACAGCACTCCGCGACGTGAGTAAGCCGAAAAAATAATAACCAATTTAGTATGTTTCACGAAGGTTTTAATATAAACAAGTAATATTAAACTGTCAAACACCGCGAGGACACCGGTGTCCGCACACCTATTGTTCTTGTGTCTATAATGACGGTACTCAAAGAAAAGGTATCGAAATAAATGAAAATGCAGAGTATTGCAAGAAGTTACCTAGACGACGCGAGCGACATCTTACCTAACTGTTCGCGATATTATACTGTTGGGCTGTATGCAAATGATGAGCAAGTTTTAATGATGTACGCCCGCGGAAGATCTTATACCTAAGTTCGGTAACCTGATGACGCAACCTACATTACTTCATCCTACTTCTAAATGGGGTCGCAGTTCTCTCTCATTTTTCTTCCAAGCGATTTTATCTTCCACACAATGGACCCGCAATTATCCAGTTTTAGCTCCATCTAATGGAGCCCGCTTTGTCTTAATAAATTAATTGTTAGCAGCAAACTAGTGCTTTTCGTATTTAAAGCACCAAATTACTAAACTTGCTGCATTCAGCTAAATCTTGAAAGGAGAAAATCTTGACAATAGTCTTAGAGATTTGCCGTGAATTAAGATTTATGTGAACGCTACAGGAGGCTGGCTACACACGTAACTACAATGTAGACTAACCCGACATGAATATTTGATTTATTGATGTACAAATCGCAACAAACAAGTCGAGATCTTATACAATGTATTCGTTTGTTAGACTCTGTGTAGCTACTCTGGTAAATATAAGTTCTGCGTACCGTTGCAATTTTGTATAAGAAACTGAAGTTTATTGATCTTACAATCATTAAAAATGTAAATAAATTAGTTTCTTTACTTAAATATAAAGCTGGCTAAATAAACGTAAATTTAAACCATGTTTACTGATTTTACTCATGTTTTATTTAACAGATTGGACGTGACATTTCTTCATTTTTAATCTATCTTCCTGGAACCTGACACCGGTAAGTGACGTTTATACTAGTGTGTAACACATCATCACACTTGTTGCAGATATGTTACAAGTAGTACGAGTAATTGACTCTTTTACTGAGAATTATGTTACAGTAACTTTGAATTTACTTCAGTTTGAGCTAAGTAACTACTTTGCTAATGGAATACCAACGATATATAGGTACACAGTGATATTCATTTACATATATTTTTTTAAAACATTGCCCCACACTTGGATTTTTGCCTGTGTCGTGGGTTCGTTCACAAACATACAAGTTCACATACACAAGACACCCAGACCCGGAACAGCAATTTGTGGATCACACAAACAGTTGTTAAGTGCGGGAATCGAACCCCCGCGACACGTTGCGCGGCAGCCAGTTGCCCGACCACTGTGCCAACCGTGCAGACATTATTTAAGCATTAATTAAACACATAAAATGATCGATGATGATGATGATTTTAACACGAGAGTGTTAACTAATCGTTAAACATCAAGTCAGTGATAAGAAATTAACTTTAATTCGATCACGTATTTTAGGGGATGCTAAACATCTAGTGATGAATATTCATGCAACACAACAAACAACAGGGTTTGGTTCACGAAGTAAGCTCGTCAGATATTAGCTCTCAACTTATAGTCACCAACAGAAATATAGCTTAAAGAAAGGCATGTCACACATTTCAAGCAAAAACTTAAAAAACGAAGAAATCGAAAATGAAGAATAAAGTATATAGACAAGCGACTATTTCTGAAGCAAAATCCTATGACAATGTGGCTTATCAAAGATTCAGTATGTTTTGTAAGCTAGGCGGCGTATGTCCAGTTGTCCATATTTATGAGCTGACATACAGACAGGTATTATTGTGTCCATGCAGTCAGCACTTAAAAATGCTCTAAACATAGTCTGTGTCCGTCCGGAGCTGACCTGCATATCAAAATTGGGTCTCAGTAAAGAATAGATAGCCCTATATTTTCGAGGCAGACTGAAGAAGATTGGAGCATTTTATTGTGATATCGACAAAAATCATTTGACTATTCAGAACAAAATGTTTTTAAAACTAACAACAATTTAATGCCTGTATATGTAAAGGTGATAAAAGACAATCGATACTTGATTAGTTATGAATGTGTCACTAATGAATTGACATTAATATGTCGCGACGTTTACAAGGCGTCTCAGTATAGACGTAGTTTATGCATCAAAGTTGTCGTAGTGACATTAAGGCAATCCGCAAATCTTAATTAATGAACCAACGTACTACATCAAGAGTATTACGTGCAAATCGAGTTTAATCTGTGATTTAGTGATTAAGTGAGATAATGTGGTACATTTGTGTTCAGGTATGCCTGCCAAAATGATGAGCGCAAGAGGTGGCGGCGCAGCTGGTGGCGACGTCAGCGTAGCTGACAGCCCACTGGCTTCCTTCGAGACATTAACTCAAGCCGCCATCATCGCCGTCATGGGCATTGCTATAGTCGTCTCTAATATTCTTATTATAGCTTCTTTCCTTAACTTCAAAGGTAAGCAAAATGTCCCTCTTTACTAATTAATAGAAAAAAAATTGTCTCGCCCCTAGATTTTGCTGTGACGGTACGTATGTGATTTTTTGCTAGTCCTTGTGCTTAATACTAGAAGAGTCACGATCCGTAATCGGTTTTAGTCTGTATTATCCGTTGGAAAATTTAATCCGTGCTGAAGTGGATAATCTAGTGAATTGGTCAGGTTTCTTTCGAACGGTTTACATTAGTACATTGAACGCAAAACTGGAACACTAGTGTGCCTGTATCAACATATTTCAATTACCAACATTCAATATATTTTTATTAGCTAGTTATTACCTGGTCCCTAGTTGGGGAAGTAATTAAAGCAATGTAAACATGAATTTCTCGCAGTAGTGGAAATTATTTAGTTTCGTCCGATATTTCTGTTTGCTTCATTGAAATAAAATTACAAACGATTATATTTGTTTGATGCAGGTCTTTCCAATGAAGTGATTAACTATTACTTGCTATCGCTGGCTGTGGCGGATCTCTTGATCGGCGTGTTCGTGGTGCCGCTGTCGGTGTACCCCGCCATCACGGGGCGCTGGATGTTCGGCGACCTGATGTGCCGGCTGGCGGGCTACGTGGAGGTCACGCTCTGGTCCGTGTCTGTCTACACCTTCATGTGGATCTCCGTTGACCGTTATCTCGCAGTACGGAAGCCTCTCCGCTATGAGACGGTTAGTGCGACGGTAGTTATCCTTTTCAATATTTTTTTTTAGCTAGCTAGCTTGCATCTTTTATGCATTCGCATTTAGCAATTTGATCATTCGAGTCTTTTGATAAATTTAAAATGAACAAAATCATTTTTCCTAACCATATGAAAGTAATTGATTCTTCTTGTAACTATATAAATACTATTTAGTAGACAACTTACCATTTATTTTATCTGTCTTTTTAAAATCTCCTTTGTACTTAATTACATTTACATCTACATTTTAGTCGAACTTTTTCCTTTTGTTAGCATGAAGATTAATTTTTTACCTTTAATATTTCTTCCTATTACTTTTTCAATGATTTTGTCCCGGTTGAAATATACGATCTAAGAAATGATAGTGTAGTATAGGCCGCACGTGTTCTAGGCTAATTATTAATAACAATGTCCATGGACCAGGTACAAACGCGCACTAGAAGCCAATGTTGGATGGTGTTCACATGGATTTCAGCCGCAATGCTTTGCTGTCCTCCTCTTCTTGGCTACAAAAAGGAAGCAAACTTCGACAAGGAAACGTTTATCTGTATGTTAGACTGGGGCACTACATACGCGTACACAGCAACCCTCGGTATCCTCGTGCTGGGACCAAGCGTTATATCGATCGTGTACAACTATTATTATATTTTTTCAATGAAACGTAAACTTAACAGCGGCGTACCTATCCACGACAAAGAGTACGCGACTGCTCTTGCTGAGAACCTGTCAAACCCGAGCCACTGGATGAGTTTCATCATGGTCTGCACATTCTGGCTGAGTTGGACTCCCTACGTTGTCGTCAAGCTTTACGAATATTGCACTGATCAGGAAATAAAGATACCGATGTTACATTTCGGTGTAGTTTGGATGGGCATTTTAAATTCGTTTTGGAAGATTGTTATACTACTTATGTTCAGCCCACAATTTCGCCTGGCGCTTCGAATATTATGCCTGACAGCATGCTGCCGCTCCAAGGGGCGCCTGGCTGCGGAGCTCATGGGCCTGGACAATGATGACTGAGTTCATCTTCTGGCAGGTATGTAAATCCTTTGCGAAGTCAACAACTTGAGCAACACGCCCCATTGTGCTGCAGACAATATTATGGATTTAGATACCTTGCCTGGCTTAGTTCGCCATGACAGAGCTCGTGGGTTTGGAGTCTTACATAGAAACATAATGATTATTATGGTTTCCACAAGTTGTCCTGATATTGCTGTATTTAGAAAGTCGTGATGTTTGTTGACAAAGTAAAGTCACTGCTGATCGTTCATCCCATTTTGTGCTTGTACGATCGATGTAGATTTCACAGGTTTCTGACGATGGTTACTCGAACAGTTAAAGTTGTTATAGACTGCGATGTGTAACTGAGTTATGATTTCAGTAGTCAATGACTTTTGACAATAATGTGTTTAATTTGGAAGTTAGAACACTTTGCTCTGTGCAATAATATCATATCATTTTCTCAATAAAAACTCGTTACTTCTAAGCATTATGTAGTTTCTAACTCATTCTAAATTAATAATGTAAGAAATGTTTGGTATTGAAATAAATATTTATTTAGATAGGTAATCTAAGTATCATAATATTATTATATGTTAGTGTATAGTAAGATATAGGTCGCTTTTAAAAGGCATTGTTGATTCATGTACTACTGAATGTTTCGTGGATGTGTTTGTATATTCATGTGAAACGGAGCCAAGCATTAAAGTTTAGGTTCGTTTTATATGAATGTGTGTCGCACCCTTAGAATAAAAGTAACTTCAGATTATTACTATTAACTTGACTTAGTACAAGATGTGCATATACATTTTTAACAGGGAGAAGTACATAATTTTTGAATCGGGTAGTCGCAGGCGGGTATTCGGCCACACTAGCAATAAACACATTACGTACATAATAATATGCAGGTTTTTTTTTTAAACTTTGTGGCTCAATTTTTTAAATTGCATTTATTCAATTCAGTTACTTTTATTTTATGGGTGCGGTATGTTTGAACGTCATTTTAATTCTAAAATTATAATGTGTTCTATTTAAATATGTATAGTACAAGCCAAATATTGTTTCGCTTCGGCGTTACGTCGGCGAGAATTCTAAAATATTTACAAAACACGAATAAATGCTTTATTTTAAATAGAATATCTGATAGATACGTGTATCATAGCAATATCTGAAGATGGATAGATACCTTGGATGGTAAACGTCTAATATATTAATTAAAGAAAAACACTGAGCTAAAAATGTGTGCCAGTGTGTTTGTCCATGTATCTGAAGAATATGCCTTAGATAGGTACTTGTAGTGTTAAAGAAACAATGATATTAAAAGTTCAAACAAAGTATGAAACAATGGAAAGTCAATATCAATAAATGTCAAAGTCAAAAAGTTAATCACAAAATGTATGTTTTCGTTATAACTGACGCACTTGTATGAAAACAAGTGAGCCGTCGGATCAAAACATGGTTAATATTCAATTTGGCTTTATCGAGTTCCAAAAATAATTCAATTTATGCATTACGGCTTACCTACTGCCGGTAAAATAAAACTGTAAAAGTCTGCTCCGTTATAATTTCATTTTAATTTGGTAAATATTGAACGTTTATTTTCATATCCCAGAATTTCGTGTGTAATTGAGTTATTGGTAAAAATGAGATTGCCAATTTAACATGGAAAAATTATTAAAAACAAATAATAACAAACATTAAGTGAGGAATTTAAAGCCTGCTGTGCTTTATATTTGCGTGAAGCTTGATTGTAGGTATCGATGTATTCAATTGTGGTATTATTAACACCACAAGTGGGAACTGCGTACAGATACCTACTCATTATACAGCCAGCTTGATTTTGACAAGAATTTGGTATGTAAGTAAAAAAGCAAATATTAATTTGGTACGCAGACAATAACGTTGATCGGCTACGGAATCGAGTACCGATCATATAATATACTAAAACCCGAATACTAAAAGGCTACTCAATTTTAAATTGTACTTAAATATCATGCAATCTCTGTCATTTTACAAAGAATTTGTAGTGACAGAACTAAAATTGAGTGGCATTTGAGTGTTTGGACATAAAACGTTAATCACTGTCTCAGTACTAGGTTAGTCATTCTTTATTATGTTACCTGCCTGCCAAATTCGGAATACAAACTTTTTGTTATGCAGTTCATAAAAAAAAATGTATTACGTAGAGTTCTTTTCCATTCTGGGATAATCAGGATGCAGTTGTGCAGTTACGAAATAAAAACTTTATATTGTGTTAGTCATGCTCATTAAATTTAAATGAAATTAACGGACGAGAGACGGTCGTCGCGTGCAATGTAATTATCCAACAAGCCAGAGTACTCATTCAAAAATAAAGTAGATAAGTAATGGGATGTTAAACCTGTAACTGAATAATTTGTTCCAAATAATAATGACCTTAAAATATAAATTACGACTTTTCAGTTATTATTACTAAACTCATAAATTAGTAATCGCTATGTTCTCTAGCTACGATAAATAAGTACCTATGCTAGATGATGCAATTTCGTACAAAATTCATAGAAAACTGTCAAACACATGTTTTTGTAAAAAATATTAAATTATAATTGTCATCACACTTATACTTATTGGATACTCGCCCGCCGATGTAAAATCTTATATTCTCAAATTGAAGGCTGTGCTTAGACTATCTATGATTTGTTTAATTTTTAGATTATAATAAAATTAGTTTATATTTAAATCTACTCTACTGTCTACTGTCACTGCCTGTGTTATTGTATTTAATATATTGCTAAGGATGAATAACAATATACTGTTTTGCAGTAACTGCATTATATATTGCTGGGCGTCAACGACTTGACACCGCGGGGCGCCGCGCCCGCCATACTGTAATTACGTTTCTTAAACCAATTATACGATGTGGCTTATTATTTAGAGAATTAATTTAGACTAAGTTATCGTGTCTCTTAAATATGTATTTAATTAAATTTAAGTTGATGTGGTACTACCTACATTAGGTACTTATATCCAAACTGCCTTTTTGTATGATTAGTTCTAGTTATTGTATTGTGTTGTATATTATTAATTGATCGAAGATTGTATTGTTCTTAATGTTTGTATACTCCGAGTGTTCAAAGTGGTCTGTGTATAGCTTGTTCTGTATGTACGTGACTGAAGTTCTGAATTGTTAATAGGCTGCAGGTGTTGGGCTCCGATCATTGTTGTGACAGAAAGCCTGCCGGGTGCAACTACTGTATTATTCAGTAGTTAAACAAACACCCAAACTCATACACCTAAGTCTACCTGTGTACGGTAAACCTCTTTGTATTTAAGTAAATATTATTCTATGGTTATGTATTTCTTGTACAACATCCCTTGTATTTATTTAGTCGTATTATTATAAAATGAGGGTAATCTCTTGGCTTCCTTTTTAAAATAGTACTATAATACCTCAGGCTTAGTCCGATAAGGAATACTATGTCGATGATATTTACGAAAACTTCTGCGCTCGTAAAATGTAAAAAAATCTATAGACTCAAAGGCATACAAACATATTCTTAGACTAGAAAAAAAAGTATATAAAATGAAACAAAAACTAGAATAGGTACAGTCTGTTATTATTGAAAATACTTCTACAAAATAACAAATACTAAAATTGTATCGCTATTCTAAAATTCTTGAAACTATTTCACTGCCTTCGAAATTCAAATATGTTTGAAATAAAAAATACTTCAATAAATAAATTAAGAAAAAATTAAGTCTATTGGCGTATTCATTCATTAAAAATAATATAGTAACTACTTATACATAGCTAGGTACGATAATTTTATAGTATAGGTCAACCAAGCGTTTTCTGTCTTTTTATATTAGATTTTCAGCTTTGTTGTATTGTTGTAAAGTGGAAAATCTAATGCAAATGGACTGATTGGTGCAGGTTGACCTGTTGGTGCCCGTATAATTGTACTCACTCGTCGGTATACTAGTATTTGCCTTAAGTAAGTACAAGAAGTTCTAGAAACGCAAACACCAAGTAACTAATCAACTCTGTGTAAACTTTACTCTGAATATACATAATATAATATGTGGCAGTTAGATCCGCATTAGACAGAAAGTATTTACATATATAGGAACCTACGTTCAATAAGAGGTAATAAACTGAATAGTTTAAAGGTCTATAAGCAATTGACTCATAAAATAAAACTTATTCGTGTATTAACGTAAAAGCCACGTATGCATTGCAATTATTTTTAATTATTAATTTTCAATGAAAAATTTGATTATTTGCATCATAACCTGATGTCAACGGTTGGTCCTCAAAGAGAATGTTCACTGTTCAAGAGCGTTCGATTCAATTACAATAGCGTGATTTTTTATAGCCTTTCGCCCTCGATATGGACTATACAACACAAAAAGAATTTTTAAAATAGAATTTGAAGTACCAGAGGTTAGCTCGTTCAAACAAAAAAGGAGTCTCCATTTTTATTTGTACACGGTAACGTCAGCCTTCAGCTTTATACAATAAAAATAGTATAAGATTGACACAAAGCATTGTTTGTTTGATGCAATTTTGCAACCAACGTTCCTCTTTGTATGTTAAAATTCAATGGAAAGTTGTTTTGCAGTGAAGTGCACAACAATTCGAATACAATAGTATAATTCAAGTAAATAAATGATATAATTACGGATACTAATATATTGCGGTCAATTTATTTCACATAATCATTTTAGAGTTATATATTTATACAAATAAACAGTTGCGTGGTCAGTGTTGTTCTCTATACAACTTTTTTTTATTTGCCTTCCACAGTCATGTCGTGTGTGACGGATTGTATCAATTAGTGATAGTGATTCTCTGAGTGGCTGATGAGAGAAGTGATCCATCACTCTCGTGTGATAATAGTACAGCTGACTTTTAGGTAAATTGAATTTCAATGTTCACAAAATACCATGGTTATTCATAGGAAATATATTTAGAGAGTTTTACATGAGAAAATTATTCAGAAGAATAGCGTAGGGCGGCTAGAAGTAGTTATCGAAAGCTT